TACATGCATACATTTAACAACAAAGGAAATGGTACCTTCAAAATAAAAGAAATAACGTTGTATTGTGATTTCCCTCAAAATCTCAATAAACAATGAGCTCGTGTTTGACACACAGTGTTTCTAAGACTGTTTGGTTGATATACTTGTGTTTGAATTTCCCACCGACCCCACGTAGGCCAGTCAGGGGCAAGGAAGGATCGAGGGGTTATAAATGCCCAGGACGGGATTATCAGGTTGACACTGTGGCAGTCTGACATGGAAAGAAGAAAAATAAAATGATATAAATGAAAAAGAAAGGAAATAGTTTCCAGATGTGTATAATAATAATGATATGAATGTTTATTGTAGTAAAAATCACAGGGCTTGGACCACAGGCTGAAGCTCAATCATAGAAATGGACAAAAACTCTTTAGATTGTTGGTGAAACATGATTTACTGTACAGACAAAGTAATCATGTTTGAACAGGGATATGAATGAAAAAGACTATTACGTCTTCTCTATAACTTAAATACAATTCAAAATAATTTGGTTTTCTATTAAAATATCTTTGGGTGAAATGAAGAACTTTCAGATATGAAGAAATGCAAACTTTGGCTGTAATTCCACTAATAAACCAGTTTTGTTTGTGGTGATGTCCTGAACTGTGGAAAGAATAAAACAGACATCGGTGGAGGCCTTCTGCTGGATGGTGTCACTGAGAAAAGCTGCTTAAATAAATATGCACTGCTTAACACACTGAGGATTTAAGTGACTCGGAGGCAGAGTTGGGGTATCATAGTGAGGCTGAAGCAGGGGAAGTGTGTGGGCTCCACAGGGCCCTGCTTTAGCTTTAGCGTGGCACCACACTGGAGTCCGATCAGCTCCGCCTGGATGTTTACAGGTGCTTTTTACAGATCAGCGGCAGGTGGATTACTGAGCAGTTTGCACTGTTGAGGCTCCTCCTTCACTTTCCTCATGCAGCTTGAAAAATTCATTGAGCATTTTTTGACTTAGCCATCGCACCTCAGTATGATAGGACCCAGAGGGCGAGTGGGGATCTAAACCAGTGGCCTTGAGGAAGCTAACCGAGTGTTGGCCGGCTCATTAAATGTTCAATATTCAGGGATTTACTGCATAGTGTTTCCTGGTTTATGATGCAGTGATTGGACGTCTCTCTCTGCATCTTTTCATCGTGCATCACACCCACTCTGTCTGTTGTTAGTATCATAAGTTTGTCCAAAGGCAGTTTCATGTCTTTTGTACATTTCAAAGATCTATTTTCCTGTGCTCCTTCCATGCATTGATTGAATCCTCAAAAGTTCCTGTTTAACACATAAAGTGGATGAAAATGACCAACTGTGAAGCATCAGTCAGTGCTCTTATCCACAGCAAGGGTGTGTGTGATGAAGCCTTTCCATCAACTGTGCTTTTAAGTGGCACGCTCACGCACACCTTCAGCAGCAGTGATGGTGTGCGTGAGCTCAGGCAAACGTTTGTCAGAGCACGAGACGTCGCTGCCGAGCCGACTTCGATATCTCGTCTGCCTGTAAAACCTTCGCTGCAGCTTCACTTCAGTGTGTTGTAGGATCAGACGACTCTTCTGTCTCCCGTAACTGTTGCTGTGTATTTTGTGCACTCGTCCTGATGTTTTGTCACACGGTGCCGTCTTATGTTATATTGTTTAACTACGACCACATTAGCTGCACAAACAAAGCACACAGGTTTACCAGCAGCGTCTGCATCCCACCATGTTTTGGTCATTTCTTTTAGGGGTTTGCTTTAATTGAGTGAACTCAGACTTGCATCCATCTGCTTGGCCCTGACTGGTTGAAGTGGACAGGGGAAAGAAGTGATTGGTGCTTGCAGGGACACCGACTGCTGCGCTGCATTATGGGGTTTGTAGTATGACTGGTGTGGGTGCCACATACCCCCTAGCCATTAATAATTGAAATATGAAATTATGTTGTGGGGTAGAGGTAACCGTATTGTGGGCTAAATGTGGCCCGTGGGCCTCGAGTTTGACACGTCTGACTTAGACCTTGGAGGGTTAAGTGGAAAAAGCCTTTTATTATGATAAATGCACAGTAAATGAAATGCATTTGTCAGAGAGCTAAGCACTTACTGCTATTGCTCATCAAAATTGCGTATGCAAAAAGTTATTTTCATCATTTTTGGACAGCTGGTAATACAGCGAGTAATGGAGCAAGACGCCCTGTTAGCCGCTGGACGAGAGCACCTGCTCACAAAATGAAAAAGACTGGTTTCTTTACTAAAACGATGCTTTTTGTTGCTGCACCCATTGTGTAAGATGACACTTGTTGTTACCACTGACAACTAGGTGTGTTGGTGAATGAGCCAGGATGGAAAGCTTTCAGATTCCCACGTTTAAAGACATTTAGTGAGTGTGTCTGGGATGAAAAGCATTGTTTCTGTAGGAATGTAGGAATATTGTAAAGCACTGAGCTAAGAATAAATGTCCTTTAAAAACAAACAAAACTTACATCATAACCAAAAGTGCACCCTTCATTTTTCTCTAAAGTCTTTAGAGGATGAAAAATTAAAAGTCCAGCGGATGCACAGTCCTGTTTAAGTATTGTGGTCAGAGATGCTCGTTCATCGTGGTAATGAGTGTGAAGGTCAGTTTGGGGACATTAAACCAAATCTTCTTTGGGTCGTATGTATATATATATTTGCCTTTATGTCTTCTCTGATCCCTGTGTGGATCAGAGAAGAACCCGGTTCTGCTGTTTTCCACCCTGGAACCAGAATGGCTTAAAGAAAACATTAAATCTAAAATAACTATATGATTGACAGCTGTGGTTAGTGTACAGTATGTAAGCCTCTGCCCTGAACTGCAGTTGGAAACACTGCACATGTGTAAATATTTCAAGTGTTCACAGAAAATGGCACTTTCAGCCTGTGAGTGTCAACACTACTCATCTCTAGCAGCTCTGCGTTGGTCTGCACAGAAACACATCGTCGTAGCACTTCTGTGAATGCGGCCGACGACAATCGGTTTGTGGCAGTTGATGTAATTTTGATTTCAAGAGAGATTAAGCGTTCCTTCTCTGCTCACACTTGTTTGGATGTGTTTATAGTCAGGGTTCATTTGGCTATAAAATTCGAGCGTCTGAGCCTTACATGGAGATTGTGAGTCAGCTTCAGAGGATTTTCAGTTATCCCAAGCCATGGAGCAGCTTTGCAGACAAATTATCCTCCATCCATAAGTCTCCCTGACTGACAGCTGGGCATTTGGCTCGGGACCAAAACCTGTAAACAACAGCAGAGTCTGTGAGATGCACAATTTGCACACGGAGAAACTTTCTGTGCACTCACACAGCACTTCACATCACCTGCCAATTTGAGAACATGTGTCAGAATATCAAAGTATCGTTGGTTTGTCTCACATCTTCAAAGCTGTCAAGGTTTCATTGTGAATGTGAGGACTGAATGACGGAGCAGAGCAATTGACTGGGCTTTTAAAGTTCTGTGCTCCTTCAGAGCAGAGCTACTGTTGAGGAAAGGATGGATACAGATGGAAAGAAAGGTGAGTTATTTAGTGGGAATCCAGCAGGATCAAGGAGACTTTTGATAGATGAAGACAAACAGGGTTGCATAATAACCCCAGTTCTCGTGGTGGAGTTAAGATGCCAAGCCGCTGCTCTTACTTCCCAAACGAACATGTGCAAATGTGCTGCAGCTCAGCCATAACTTAAGTCTTGGACAAAACAGCGTGATCCACTTTAGTCACACTTGAAATCGGGATTAGAAAAATCTCTTGGCAAGTGATCTGAGAGAAGTCAAATCAGGTCAGTCGAAATTCAGTGGGACACCCGAAAAGAGAGCGAGCTCATGCTGTCAATTCTGCTGTGCTGTTTTCAACCAGATGGATAGCCAATTGCAGCTCCAGATGTGCTTCGAATCCATCTAAGCACAAAGGAGGATGACATCCAAAAACAAAAGGGCCTCCCTCTCACTCTGAAGAGCGAGTGCCACACTGATTGAAAGAGTGAAGGGATAATTGCAATCAGGCCAGTGCCAGTTTTCATTACGTCCTCAGCCGCGGGTCTTAATGCAGCCCTGCACTCCAGCAAAGCAAGCCTTGGAAAAGAGGCTGTTGTTGTGCGACTCGGGGCTCTTCTGGCGAGCCGGGTGGATCAGATGAAGACAGAACCGACAGCTTTAGATCACTGGACTCTTAATCTGCTCCTGTCTGTCGGATGTGATGTAATCTCACAATGTGGGATTAAAAAGAGCACGCACAAACACAAAAGGAGCCCCGCCGTTTTCTGTGCAGCTTTCGAGGGTCACTGCAGGGGTTAATAGACTGTTTGAGGCATCTGAGGAGTGAGGCAGCCGTGTTATTTTCTCTCTAATTCTCACTTTAAAACTTCTCTATTGACAGGCGGAGGCACGCTTTAACCTGAAATGTTTAACTTTGCCGTTATCCATTTTCCAGCTTGCCATGCCTATAGATCAATAGGCATGGCAAGCTGGAAAGTACACATACAATGTCGCAGACGCAGCATCTGAATTGGTGTTTTGTCTTTTATTCCCAGATAATTGTAACGGCCCTCTGGTATCGGCGCTGCCCCATTCATCCTTTCAGAGCTCCTCTGAGTCCTCCGTCAGCTATGCTGCCTACAACGCCAAGCTCAACAGAAGAGATGGTGAGTACAGTGAATGTTCCTGCATTATTCAGCGTTTCTAAATGCTTGTAGTTAACAATAACCATAGAGGTAACAGAGCAGAAAACACTCAGCTGAAGTGTTTTTATAGTGGGTTTATGGGTTGTTTTGGAAGGCACAGACAAATAAGCTCTTAAGACTTTCTGAATCTATCACATGCAGCAATATAAAGGGGTCTGTTTACCTATTTGGAGGAGATGGCCCCTCTATTGGAAGCAGTGATGAGTGGGCCGAGAAATTCAACAGCCACAGTCGCCATGGCAACTCGAGGCACTGACTGGATGTTTTTTGCCACAGACTGTATGTAAAAGCTGTATGTGTGCACTGTGACATCACTCAGTGGTCAGCATTTTGCCGGCCTGCATGTATGTATGTACACGCACACACTAACCAAGCATCAGTAATCATCAACTAACATCAATAGAAACAGCTGTCAGAGGTGGAGCAGGTCACCTGGTCAGAGTGTCCTTGGGTTCCCAATGCACTGATCAGAGTGGGAACGTTGAAGTACTGAAGCATAGGGAAAAAGAGCTGGTATGATCTGGTGTGTGAAGAGGTGAATGAGGCTTGTAGTAGCGCTTTGAGTGGGAATCCATTTACTTTATCCATTAGCAGAATTACTCAACCCTGGAAGAAAAGAGCAGTGTAACTGAACCGTCTGCAAACGTCACCAATAACAATAATAGATGCATTTATAGAGTTGACAATGAATTTTGTGGCCAAACTCAAAGTAGCCAAGAACACAACTCCCCTGGCTCTATCAGATCTACCCAAAGCTCTGCTTAGTATCACTGAAACCATCGAGCCCTGAAACTTCACAAAAAGTAAAGACATTTCTGTTTGGTCAGTTATTTCTTTGTTGTAACACTGCTCGTGTGCAATAAACCATATATGGCGTTGGTAAGTCTGTTTGTTTCCCCTAAATGGTGCCTTATGGTAATTTGTAAGGTTTGTTTGTTGGCTGAGCAGCAGAGTTGAGCAACAGGACAACAAAGACATAACAGACCAAAATCAAATTTCCCTACTTTCTGTGCTAAGCTAATATGACTGGAAACCAGAATCTGTGTAGCTGGGAAGTTGGTTAGTCAGGCAACTGGTGCAGACGAGTGTCATGAGAGATAGGTCACAGCAAAAAAGAAAATATACACTACATTGCCAAAAGTATTTTGTCACACATCCAAATCACAGAATTCAGGTGTTCCAATCATGGCCACAGGTGTGTAACATCAAGCACCTAGGCATGCAGACTGCTGCTACAAACATTTGTGAAACAATGGTGATTTCCATAGGTGCCACCTGTGCAACTATTCCAGTCGTCAAATTTCCTCACGACTAAATATTCCACAGTCGACTATTAATGGAACTTTAAGTGGAAGCGACTGGGAACAGCAGCAGCTCAGCCACGAAGTGGTCGTTCATGTGCAATCACAGAGGGGGGGAGGGGGCAGCGAATGCTGAGGAGCATAGTGCACAGAGGTTGCCAACTTTCTGCAGAGCCAATTTCTACAGACCTCCAAACTTGATGTGGGCTTCAAATTAGCTCAAGAAGCATACAAACTGCACCCACAAGCCTTAATCACCTGGGCCAAAGCAAAGTATTGGATGCAGTGGTATAACTACGCCACCACTGGACTGTAGAGCAAGTGGAGACATGCTCTCTGGAGTGATAAATGATGCTTCTCCATCTGACAATCTGTTTTGCCTTATTACTTTTGTACTACCAAATAATTCAAGTTGTATAGAAGTTTATGGAAAAAGAGGCCGCATTCTCCCTTCGTCTATGACCTCAGTAAACACCTGACTAATGTGCATGTTCATCCTTTCAGTTTACGTCAGTGGTCTGAATTTCTAGTTGCAAGTCAATTCTTATTGAATACAACATTAAATATAATTCGTAAGTTATTAAGGCCGTTACACACTAAACGTGTGCAAAATGACGCAGACCTGCCCTGTAACCTCTACACACACTGAATGTTGCATTTTTGCAGAAATTTGTCCCTCAAAAACATCCACTGTGTAAAAACTAAAGCAAGTGGGCATCAGGCCATAATGAGTCCTGATGTTTCTGAACAAGAAAGGTAACAAAAAGCTGCGTCACAGATGCGTTCGTACATTTTTCAGGATGGTAGTGGTGCCTATTTGAAGTCTTCTTAGCAGAGCAGTATAAAACTGCCAATCAAAAATAAATATGTAAATTATTGAATTAAATTTGTTAACTCTTATTAAAAACTTAGTTTATAAAAGATGATTTTTCAGCACAAGTTAAAAATGTAAATTTAAGACCAGAGTGCTGACACAGCCAGCATCTCCCTTCAGTGCTTCTGAGCAGCCGCTATATTAATTCATGCATTGAATAGTGTCAGCCAAGAAAAACAATTATCCCTAAAAAACAACCACATATCTTTGCTACAGCTGAACTGGGCATAGACCTCCACTGTTAGCCTGCAGCGGGCCCAAATGTAGGCAGAGGGCTGAAACAGAAGAGGCCGAAGGCACGTTGTGAAAGCAGTAAAAACAATTACCAGACAGGAAGTTAAACCCAGATAAAACTACATAAACGGAGAAATAAACAGCAATCATGATGGGAGCAAGGAGACACTCAACAGTGAAACATTAATGGTTGAAGTCAGATGGGACACAGAATACAAGAAAAATGGAGGAAACTAAACCACGAATAACGAAACAGGGACTGAAGCTGACTTATTGGTTCTGAAAACCAAGAACTGAGAACTGACACCAGAACTGCAAAGACTAGAAAACTGTATAGAACGGAAACGTTCATGGAAACTAAACAGGAGCCAGAACTGCAACCATATAATAACAACTGAGGCTAAACAATGATAGGATGGAAAGACATGAAAACAGGAACCAAATGTAAAAAGAAACAAACAGTAAAATATGAAAAATCCAAACAGAAACTCACAACAACACAACGCTAACATGTCTTACATCTGGGCTCTCATCAGCTCTGTGGGGCAGATCAACCACCCCGCCTGCCATAACCACACTCTCTGTGCAGCTCTGTGGGTCCGGGGCAGGCGCCCCTACATTTTGGTTTAATTCTGAATGTGATGCAGAAAGCTGCTCTATCTTTAACTCGCCCCTCAGTCATCCCACTTTTCCGTTCCACTGAACTTAAGCCTTTCAGGTAAAATAAAGCTGCCGGTGAATAAAAAGCATTGGGCTCTTTATTGGAACTTTGAACATACTGCATATACAGTGCATAAAATGAATCAGTTGTTTTCCACAGAAACAGGGGCTTTCACTGTGGCTGCTGGAGTGGAACTTATCCTTGAAGCCTTTCACATAAACTCCTCGCACGTACACATCAAGACTTGTTGACAGAGTGCATGTGTCAGACCCTCTGCCTGTATTTTCTGCTCTTCTTCAGGTGCAGGAGGTTGGTCTCCAATGGTAACTGACCAGGAGCCCTGGCTCCAGGTGGACCTCAGGGAGCAGATGGAGGTGACTGCTGTAGCCACACAGGGACGCTATGACAGCTGGGACTGGGTCAGCAGTTACCTGCTGCTCTACAGTGACACAGGCCGGGCTTGGAAACAGTACAGACATGAGGATGGCGTAGGGGTCAGTATTTTTTATCCGCTTTCTCCACCTACCTACCTTCAGTTTGTTACTGACTTAAAGCTGATACAACAGTACAGCTGTATTATTGTAGGGTCTTTACCTTTCGACATAAAGCACCTTCAGATGACGCTTGTTGAGATTTTAATTGAGTTGAATTGAAACCAGCTAGCCAACAACTAATATGATCAGTCGAAGGGAAAAAGTGTAAGGCCTATTCTGGAATGTTGATGGATAGGTCAACGGTTGGGAAATATGCCTATATGCTTCCTTAATGAGTTTGGAGTTAAATAGCTTTCAGACTGGAAGCTGAGCAAAAAGCTAGCCAGGATCCAAAGGTCACTAATTAACTTGTGTATGTGACCCATAAAGAAACAAGCAGCAATATCAAGTTTAGTTTTGAAACAAATACACACCGGAGGCATTTCTGGGCTTGGGGAACACTGTCTCTGTTTTAGGCTAGTGGAAGAAGTTTGCCTTCCAGGCTTTCTGCCAGAGTTTCTGTCAGAGAGATCGCAGGAAACCAGCAGAGACAGAATAAAGAGCAATGAAGTCTACTGATTCAGCAGGTTGAGCTGGATGAATTGGAGAGAATGGGTGTTTTACCAAGCGGACAGGGCTGTAGGTCCACCTGTGCTGTGCTTTTAAGCCTGTGACAGAACCCTATGAGGTTGAGGTCATCACTGACTATGACCTTAGTGTTTAGATTAAATATGTCACAGGTTAAATCATTAGTTAGGTTAACAGCCTAACTGATCGTTCACCTGTTTGCAGGGTTGTCACAGAAACCTTCTAATGTGGACATGTAACATCTTTGTCCATTTCATATGTGACTAAAAGAAAATCTGATTGGCTCGTTGGATGTCACAAGGTTAATCACGTAGCACCACTGCAAATGTACTGCTTTTCCAGCACTGGTACGTTCTTAAACACTAACATAGCTATAGTTAGCTATAGTTAGCTACAGTTAGCTATAGTTAGCTATAGTTAGCTATAGTTAGCTGTAGTTAGCTTTGTGTCACATGTTTCATTCTATGTTCATTTCTTGTGTTTTGTGGACCATCTGTTCCTGGCATTGCTGGTCAGTGTCAGTTAACATCCTCTCACTTCTGACACGTTTCAGGTGTGGCTCTGGTGTCAGTGCAGTTTTTTCTTTTTATCCCCTCTGTAATGTCGCAACATATTATGCCGGCCATACATGGATTCAGAGTCTCAGAAAATAGCTCCATGTTGGCACATGCCATTAATTCTTTATTGTGTTTGGCCCAGTTATGTCAACGACTGTCAGCAAGACGGTGAATGTCTCTCGGAGCGTTTTCTTGTTTGGTAGTCCAATTAGCAGAGAGTGTTGTTGCCTACTGGCGTGGCACTGCTGCAAAGTGATCTTCTCTCTATTGTGTTGAATAAGGGCAATGATGTGTGGCAGTGAACAATATGTCTAGTTCTGTTTTAAATAATATATCTTTCTTCAAATACTTAAATATTTATTATCTACAATGCTCTTAAATGACCGTCCTGGACACTTTCAACATCAAACTTTCCTCCAGCAGCCCTTTGCACAGTACATAGTATTCAGTGATACGTTGTTACTATGTGGCACAGTGATGGTTAGCTCTCACAGAAAGAAGGTTCCTGGTTGTCCAGGCCTTTATGTGTTTTTATGTGTAAAATCCAACTTCTGAATTGGCCACGAACTCAAAGTCAGTGATAAGAGCAGGTGCTCCATGTGTGTAGAATAAATGTGCTTGTAGTGTGAAGCCCTTTCAGTAAGACCAGACCACAGCGATGTAGAGTGTGAGTGACATAGCCTCAAAGTTATATCTGATTATTTCAAGAAAATCTGAAATAGTGATATTTCTGATAATAAAGAAAGGAGTAGCACAACGAAATGTTGGGCCTTCTTCAAAACCTCCGAGGTGTTTGAGCTCTGTTGGAGCTCTGTGTCTATGTGCACACCCAGGAGCTAGAACCTGGACAGCCTTTCCACACACTCCCCATTGATGCTGATGGGCTGCAGCTTGGACTTCCTCCTTCTGACGTCGACTACCAGCTCTTTCATCTTTGGTGATATTGAGGTCCAGGTTGTTGTCAGCACACCAATCTGACAGCCTCTGATCCTCAGCTCTGTATGCTGTCTCATCGCCCCAAGGGATGAGCCCCACCACGTTGGTATCATCTGTGAACTAATATAGAGAAAATGCCAGTAATCCCAGCAATCAGACAGCCTTCAAGCACTTGGCAACAGTAGGAAGGAAAAACTCCCTTTAAACATGAAGAAACCTGGCAGAACCATGCTGAACGAGGCCCAGCCATCTGCCATGACTGTTTTTGGTTGATTATAGGGAGACAAATAAAAAGATGCACTATAACAATAACAAATAATAACCTATTTATTTATTTATTTGGGACGGTGCATGTTAATGAACATAAATGTAAAAAAAAATTACATGAATGTAAACATGCCAGATTATAGCCAAAGGCTAATTTCCATCTGTTATCCTTAAACATAAAAAATAGACATAATAAATTCCATGTCGTCAACCCTCTGACATCTGGGTCATTACAGGTGTTTACCCTCCAGAGTACTGTGAGTACAAGCTAAAGAGCACCAGGGCTCACAAAATCGCTAGCCCGATGTCCCGGGGCTAGCGATTTTTCCAGTCGGGCTACCAAAATCTATCTCTGCCCTGCCCGTCGGGCTATTGTAGGAAGGAAAATTATATGTCAATGCTTTTGCATTCTTTCAGAAATGTAGCTGGGTAATTATGTCATTGGCATCGGTGAGCCACTGTCAATATGTGACATATTGAAGTCGCGTTTGAATTTGCGCTTGTTTTTTTGCTTTCACTTTGCAATCGTGCGAACTGTGTATAGAGAGCGACAGCACTGATCTGTGAGTGATGATAATTTGTGCACCAATTCCTCTGACATCGTCTTATTAATCGTTAGCTTACTATGCAAACATGACAAGTGAAATCTCCCGCAGCTTAAACATGTGAGAGGTTGATCGCGCAGAGAATCGCTGAGCTTATGTGAGTGCGTGTATAAAAGCATTTCAGTTCTGCTGAGCCAAATAAGACAGGTCAGGGTGAAGAAGTGACAGCCAAAGAAAAGCTTACCACAAAACGGAGAAGTTATGATAAATCAGACTATAAGGCAAAAAGAAATTGCAGCTTTATGGTTTCATGGACAAAAGAATTTCTGTGGCTGCAATATGACGAGCTAAATAACCAGGGCTGCACATAAGTGGTCCGCAGGTGCGTTTTTCAAAATAAAAAACACGCACAAGATATGAAGTTGCAACGCGTGTTTGCGTACATAAGATTTTCTGGAGGAGGACAGACATTTGTTTAGAACTCTTAAAGATGTCGAAGAAGCTCCTTTAAGCAGTTACTTTGGTGTTCCTCCACCTCCAAAGAAATGTCAGGAGTACGAACCACAAAAGAAGCGCGTATTCTCGGAAAAGTGGTTGCAGGAGGTGAGCTGGCTTCAAACAAATGATGAACGCACAGAGATGTGGTGCAGAATGTGCCGTGAAAATCCCACTCTAGGACAAAAACACTGCTTTTTATATGGACGCAAACGCGCGTTGCAATTTCTTATCTGCTGCACGTCTTTTATTTTGACAGCGAATGCGCACATGCGGACCACTTATGTGCACCCGTGTAAATAACATAATGTTCTGCCGGGTGTGTTATTGGTTTTCTCTCGATTTCTGAGTCGACAAGCGCCTTTGTTACTGGGACCAGTCATTTTAAGAAAGGCCCCCATTAGAACCCATGAGAAATGCAAGAAATGCATTATTGCTCAGTCTGCAATATCTTTCCCAGAACAAACACTAATTGTAAATAACATACTAAAAATAAACCTGAAAATCTGTTTAGAACAGCGTACTATGTTGCAAAGAGTGAACTACCACTGGCACAATGTAGCAGTCTTTGCAAACTTCAAAAAGCAAATGGCCTCGATCTTGGTTCCACTTGCCTCTTACCTGTGACTTCAGTGGAAATGTCAGATTCAGGCTCTGACAGACTGATCCATGTCCTACACAGTTCTTACAAGTTCATAGAAATTTCTGTTCAGTTAGAACCAAGTGTTTGAGTTGATGATTGTAATTTTTATTCAATGTTGTAATTTGTGTTTCAACAATTTTTTGTTTTGTTTCCGTTACCATATTATACTTTAATGTGTAATATTGTAACGGAAACAAAACAGGAAACAAAACATCAATAAAAAAATCACTCTCTTTTTTATTCGGGCTACTTAAATTTATTTTGGGCTACCAAAAACTGAAGAGTCCCTGCCCGAAGGGCTACCAGGGATTTTGAAATTTTGCGAGCCCTGAGCACCAGTTATTATCTCCATCTTGTAAGTCAGCAGTGAGTATTATAAGCTACTCACAGTGGGTTGCTGTGATGTCTTTATTTCTAGAAAAACGTTGTTACATTTATGATTGAATAGAGATTTCGACACAAATCTCTCGTTTTCTACTCTCAGACTGTAGCAGAGCACCTTTGGTTGATTCAGAGTTTAGCAACTAATCCTGTCTTATCTAGTTCATGGGCTTAGTTTAGACCCCCAGTTTGTCTACTGTATAATTACATATTAGCAATCTACCTGAGGTGACCAAAGTAGGAATACTGTTCATTCTTTATGAAAACTATCTGAAAATGAGGATTTAGATCAGAATTGAGCATCAAGCCTGAGTGTTACACATGATGGAAACAAGAAGACAAACTGAACAGATCCACATTAAAGAAACTGTCAAAATGATCACAACAAACAGCCCAAACAGCTTTTAACTCTTCATTATGGAACAAATAGTACTTAGACTGAAATTAGCCTGTTTTATTGTCCCCCAAAGAAGAAGCTTATTGCGCTGTTACTGAGACTTAACGCCGTAGATTAAATGTACCCTTTGGAAAAAACTGCTGCAAACTTTATGGGAAGATTCATTTGTTGATGTGAACAAAACAACACAGCCAGTTTTTAATTAGTGCTGA